TCTCAGTCCTGGGTCTATAGCCTCAGTCCTGGGTCTACAGCCTCAGTCCTGGTTCTACAGTCTCAATCCTGGGTCTACAGTCTCAGTCCTGGGTCTACAGTCTCAGTCCTGGGTCTATAGCCTCAGTCCTGGGTCTACAGTCTCAGTCCTGGGTCTACAGTCTCAGTCCTGGTTCTACAGTCTCAGTCCTGGGTCTACAGTCTCAGTCCTGGGTCTACAGTCTCAGTCCTGGGTCTATAGCCTCAGTCCTGGGTCTACAGTCTCAGTCCTGGGTCTACAGTCTCAGTCCTGGGTCTGCAGCCTCAGTCCTGGGTCTACAGCCTCAGTCCTGGGTCTACAGTCTCAGTCCTGGGTCTACAGTCTCAGTCCTGGGTCTACAGCCTCAGTCTTGGTTCTACAGTCTCAGTCTGTTTGATTCTCTATTCTTCTGTTGGTGAATTGACACTTACTGTTTGAGTCCTCTGAGACAAAAATAACTTTAGTGAATATTCTGGAGCAGCCTTTGAAGCACATTAAGAGGAAATGATTCACTAACGAGAGGGTTTCTCAGTCGACCGTGAATTAGCTGCTCCTTGTTTTACTAGTTTAGGACGGTTTGTCTTGTTTTCTCAGTAGATTTAGTTATTTGGTTCTTCACACATGTAAGAGAGAGAGAGAGCAGAGAGAGCAGAGAGAGGGACCAGAGAGAGACCAGAGGGAGAGACCAGAGGGAGAGACCAGAGAGAGACCAGAGAGAGAGACCAGAGGGAGAGACCAGAGAGAGAGACCAGAGAGAGACTAGAGAGAGACTAGAGAGAGAGACCAGAGGGAGACCAGAGAGAGACCAGAGAGAGACCAGAGAGAGACTAGAGAGGGACCAGAGAGAGAGACCAGAGCAAGACCTGAGAGAGAGCAGAAAGAAAGAGAGAGACCAAAGAGAGACACCAGCGAGGGAGATTAGAGTCCAGAGTTAGTCCTGTGTTGTTCTAGACCCAGGTCTGCAGTGAGGGCCCGGGTCCTGCACTTGCCTGAAGCCTCCTTCTCCTGTCCTGGTCTCCGGACGGTCCCGCTCAGAGCCGCGGTCCGAGCCCTGAAGGCGGTGGCGTTGACGCGGGTGAAGGAAGAGAAACCCTCTTTCTGGGCGAACGAGCACACGTTTCTGCCCCTGTAGGTGCAGTTGAAGAGGAAGCAGGCCTGCGCATCCCCGGCCTGCACCACCGCCACCGTGCAGTGCTCCTCCGCGCAGCAGGCATGCACGCAGTCCCTCCAGGAGCGCGTTGAGTCGGGGGCCAGAAGGAACGCGGCCCCCTGATGAATGGAGAGCCGGGTGCGGATGATGCGACCCTCTGCACGGTCGTAGTCCTCCACGCAGGCGTCAGGGAGGTCCGCACCGCGACTGTAGGCCTGCTCCTGCTGCAGCTGCTGCCGGAACTCATCCAGAAGCTCCTCCACCCCCGTGATCTTAGACTTTAGGTCCGAGAACTGCGAGGTGCGTGCGTGTGCGCCGCGGAGGAGACAGGAGAGGAGCAGAAGAGCGAAGGCCAGCGGGGGAGGAGGATGCTGAGGCTGGGTCATGGTGGTTAGTCCTGCTCCCTCCGCCTCCGACCAGAGTCCATCAGTGCAAACACCCGGAGGAGAGAGACTTCAGACGGCTTCAGACAGGGCCCATCAGACCGTGGTACCCTGGTGTACCCTGGAGTATAGAGTATTGTGTGTGTGCGCAGGTGAGGTCTGTGATCAGAGATGACGAAGATCAATCTGAGGTTGTCATGGTGAGGAGGGATGGGCGTCAGTGTCTGCGCATGCGTATCTGCGTCTGAACTCAACTGTAGGTAAGCTGCGCAGTGGTTGGTCACAGAGCCCTCCCCCTTTCACTGTGCTGTCTCTGTGTGTTTCAACCTGTGGGCCGTGGGAGAGAAAGAGACCGGGGAGAGAGAGAAAGCAGAGAAACCAATGGAGACCAGAGAGAGCAAGGTTTTTACCATAAATTACCTTTGAGGAGGACATTCTACACCCCGGTGGATCATCAAGATTATTGGTCCTCCCATTTGTCAGTCATTCTGGTGATACGTGCTCGTCCAATAAGAGCAGAGTTTGTTATAAAAAAGTGGAGAGGGTGTTCTTTCCTAAAATTTGGAAAAATCCTTCTACAGTTATATACCGTTAACGCTCAAATTCAATTGGTCCATATATAAGAAAAAGAATAAAACATTTCTCTGGTCTCTCTCAGGTCTCTCACTATGTTCTCTCTCTGGTCTCTCTGTGGTCTTTCTCTGGTCTCTCTCTCTCTGGTCTCTCTCTGGTCTCTCTCTGGTCTCTCTCTGGTCTCTCTCTGGTTTCTCTCTGGTCTCTCTGTGGTCTCTCTCTGGTCTCTCTCTCTCTGGTCTCTCTCTGGTCTCTCTCTGGTCTCCCTCTGGTCTCTCTCTGGTCTCCCTCTGGTCTCTCTCTCTGGTCTCTCTCTGGTCTCTCTCTGGTTTCTCTCTGGTCTCTCTGGTCTCCCTCTGGTCTCTCTCTGGTCTTTCTCTCTGGTATCTCTCTGGCCTTTCTCTCTGGCCTCTCTCTCTGGTCTCTCTCTCTCTGGTCTCTCTCTGGTCTCTCTCTCTGGTCTCTCTCTGGTCTCTCTCTGGTCTCTCTCTGGTCTCTCTCTGGTTTCTCTCTGGTCGCTCTCTGGTCTCTCTCTGGTCTCTCTGGTCTCTCTCTGGTCTCTCTCTGGTCTCTCTGGTCTCTCTGGTCTCTCTCTGGTCTCTCTATGGTCTCTCTGGTCTCTCTCTGGTCTTTCTCTCTGCTCTTTCTCTCTGGTCTCTCTCTCTGGTCTTTCTCTCTGGTCTCTCTCTGGTCTCTCTCTGGTCTCTCTATGGTCTCTCTGGTATCTCATGGTCTCTCTCTGGTCTCTCTGGTCTCTCTCTGGTCTTTCTCTCTGGTCTCTCTCTGGTCTCTCTATGGTCTCTCTGGTCTCTCTCTGGTCTCTCTCTGGTCTTTCTCTCTGGTCTCTCTCTGGTCTCTCTCTCTGGTCTCTCTCTGGTCTCTCTCTGGTTTCTCTCTGGTCTCTCTGGTCTCCCTCTGGTCTCTCTCTCTGGTCTCTCTCTGGTCTTTCTCTCTGGTATCTCTCTGGCCTCTCTCTCTGGTCTCTCTCTCTGGTCTCTCTCTGGTCTCTCTCTCTGGTCTCTCTCTGGTCTCTCTCTGGTCTCTCTCTGGTTTCTCTCTGGTATCTCTCTGGCCTCTCTCTCTGGTCTCTCTCTCTCTGGTCTCTCTCTGGTCTCTCTCTCTGGTCTCTCTCTGGTCTCTCTGGTCTCTCTCTGGTCTCTCTATGGTCTCTCTGGTCTCTCTCTGCTCTTTCTCTCTGCTCTTTCTCTCTGGTCTCTCTCTCTGGTCTTTCTCTCTGGTCTCTCTCTGGTCTCTCTATGGTCTCTCTGGTCTCTCTCTGGTCTCTCTGGTCTCTCTCTGGTCTTTCTCTCTGGTCTCTCTGGTCTCTCTCTGGTCTCTCTCTGGTCTCTCTCTGGTCTCTCTCTGGTCTCTCTCTGGTCTCTCTCTGGTCTCTCTCTGGTCTCTCTCTGGTCTCTCTCTGGTCTCTCTCTGGTCTCTCTCTGGTCTCTCTCTGGTCTCTCTCTGGTCTCTCTCTGGTCTCTCTCTGGTCTCTCTCTGGTCTCTCTCTGGTCTCTCTCTGGTCTCTCTCTGGTCTCTCTCTGGTCTCTCTCTGGTCTCTCTCTGGTCTCTCTCTGGTCTCTCTCTGGTCTCTCTCTGGTCTCTCTCTGGTCTCTCTCTGGTCTCTCTCTGGTCTCTCTCTGGTCTCTCTCTGGTCTCTCTCTGGTCTCTCTCTGGTCTCTCTCTGGTCTCTCTCTGGTCTCTCTCTGGTCTCTCTCTGGTCTCTCTCTGGTCTCTCTCTGGTCTCTCTCTCTGGTCTCTCTCTGGTCTCTCTCTGGTCTCTCTCTGGTCTCTGAAGCAGAATAAACACATAGAGCTTCATCTGTTTTGACGGAGTTTTTTATTTGACACTGAACTGACCTCAGATCAGTTGGATCCATGAGTTCACAGCGGTCAGAACAAGCGGTGGAGAAAACTTCATCTTTCAATGCATTTCATGACGAGACGTTCTCAACCAAACAGAAAACACAAACTCACTCGACATGTTTTGTACACTTTAGAAATACTCTCTCTATCTCTCTCCTTCCTCTCTCTGGCCTCTCTCTCTGGCCTCTCCGCTCCCTCTCTAGTCTCTCTCTTGCCTCTCTCCTCTCTGGTCTCTCTCTCTCTCTCTAGTTTCTCTTGCCTCTCTCTCTGGTCTCTCCTCTCTCTGGTCTCTCTCTGGTCTCTCTCTGGTCTCTCTCTCTCTCTCTGGTCTCTCTGGTCTCTCTCTGGTCTCTCCTCTCTCTGGTCTCTCTCTGGTCTCTCTCTCTCTCTCTGGTCTCTCTCTCTCTCTGGTCTCTCTCTGGTCTCTCCTCTCTCTGGTCTCTCTCTGGTCTCTCCTCTCTCTGGTCTCTCTCTGGTCTCTCTCTCTCTCTCTGGTCTCTCTCTCTCTCTGGTCTCTCTCTGGTCTCTCCTCTCTCTGGTCTCTCTCTGGTCTCTCTCTGGTCTCTCTCTCTCTCTCTGGTCTCTCTCTCTCTCTCTGGTCTCTCCTCTCTCTGGTCTCTCTCTGGTCTCTCCTCTCTCTGGTCTCTCTCTGGTCTCTCTCTCTCTCTCTGGTAGAAACATGGACATATTAAACCATGTATAAAACACTTGATGTGAACATTTTACTCTGTACAAATAAAGACAGGTTTTTAATATAATCGTCACAGAATCAACACAGAAATATGTATAAACTATTTACAAATATGCAGTGTGTGTGTGTGTGTGTGTGAGAGTGAATCATTAAATAATTTGCAAAAGAAAAGACCATCTGATTCAATAATATTAAATAATGTAGTGAAAATTACACTTGCTAAAAATATATTTGAAAATGAACCATAACAGAATGACCACCGGGTGACTGTCACTGGGGGAGGGTTTAAGGCACAGTGGCTGAGTGGTTAGCCCTCTCGCATCTCAGCAAGAAGGTCCTGGGTTTGAATCCTGACTGGGACAGGGCCTTTCTGTGTGGGGTTTGCATGTTCTCCCCGTGTCTGAGTAGGTTTTCTCTGAGTTTCCCTATAGCTAAAAACATGCATTGATATATGCTCTCTCTCTTTGGTCTCTCTTTAGTCTCCCTCTGGTCTCTTTCTCTGGTCTCTCTCTTTGGTCCCCCTCTGGTCCCTCTCTGGTCCCTCTCTGGTCTCTCTCTGGTCCCTCTCTGGTCTCTCTTTGGTCCCTCTCTGGTCCCTCTCTGGTCTCTCTCTGGTCCCTCTCTGGTCCCTCTCTGGTCCCTCTCTGGTCTCTCTTTGGTCTCCCTCTGGTCTCCCTCTCTGGTCTCTCTCTGGTCTCTCTCTGGTCCCTCTCTGGTCTAACCCTAACCCTCTCTGGTCTTTTTTTGGTCTCTTTTGTCTCTCTCTCTCTCTAGTTTCTCTCTGGTCTCTTTCTCTGGTCTCTCTCTTTGGTCCCTCTCTGGTCTCTCTCTTGTCTCTCTCTGGTCTCTCTCTGGTCTCTCTCTTGGTCTCTCTCTGGTCTCTCTCTGGTCTCTCTCTGGTCCCTCTCTGGTCCCTCTCTGGTCCCTCTCTGGTCCCTCTCTGGTCCCTCTCTGGTCCCTCTCTGGTCCCTCTCTGGTCCCTCTGGTCCCTCTCTGGTGCCTCTCTGGTCCCTCTCTGGTCCCTCTCTGGTCTCCCTCTGGTCTCCCTCTCTGGTCTCTCTCTGGTCCCTCTCTGGTGCCTCTCTGGCCTCTCTGGTCTTTTTTTGGTCTCTTTTGTCTCTCTCTGGTCTCTCTCTGGTCTAACCCTCTCTGGTCTCTTTTTGGTCTCCCTCTCTGGTCTCTCCGTAACCCTATATATCTTTAAACAAATCTCCGTACGGTCCCTAACTCTGTGACGTGAGCAAATATGACTCTAACATTTCCGTTCTGTGAGACTGAGACAAAAAGAGGTTTCATTCATTGTAAAATCCTCCAGGTTGGGTCCTGACCGAGCCTCAGCACCAGAGATGGACACTACTCCACCCACAGCCTAACCACACATGGACAATGCTAACCTGCTAGCTCAATGAAGCCCAATGGGGAAGTGCTCATGGACAAAGACTAAGACACTAATGCAGGGGTCTCCATAGAGCTACCAGTTACCAGTAGCTTGCCACACTCTACAAAGTATCTCCCAAAAGGATCATTTGATGAGTAAATATAAAAATGATCATTATAGATTCATTTATGGCTATAGCGCTTCCCAAACTTTTGCTTTATCTGTGCTGGAAATAAGACTAAAGCTGGTTGTTCCATAGTTTTAAAGGTACTCTGTGTATTTTTACAGTTAGTCCAAATGAAAACACATGTTAGCCAATAATAAATGTGACCTTTTTAACAATATTTACCTCCACCACGTTTTTTAATTGTTGTCATGGGCTTAGAATTTAACTCATAAATGTCCGTGAGGCTGGAGGACTCTGTGTCAATCCGCCATCTTGAAATACAGAGGTTGATAAGGGACAAAAAGGAGTTTGAGCGGGAGGGGACCACTGTC